GTAGTCATAATCAGATACATACAGATTAGAGATGCAAGCGCCAACATCTCAGTAGCAAAAACAGTGAGCCTGTCTGCAAGGAACAATATAGTCTAAAATGAAATGGAGATCTTTTTTAAATGTTAAAAACTCATCCAATTTTATGTCTTACAAGGCTTATACTGAGTTCAATAATATATAACTATATTAATTCAACTGGGAACCTAGGAATTTGCACCCACTTGTGAAAGAGATGTACTGTTGCTCTGGAGTGTGTTATTGAACATGTTAAAGCTGAAATGAAATGCTTCCAAAAAATAACATACAATATACACAAAAAAAATCGATAAATTAAAAAAAAAGACATATTTGAGGAGGAAGCATAAACATTTACTTCATGTTAATTAGTAGATGTGAAAAACATTACCATTGAAATCTACCTTATGACTTTATATCCATGCTCAGATGCCAAGGAGCTCAGAAAGTAACCGACTGTGTGACTAGCAATAAATAGAGATCAGAAACGCATGTGCATCTTAGTGTCAATTGTATTAAAAATGAATTTTTCTGTATGAAACTGCATATTTTAATAATGAAATGGAGATCTTTTTTAAAGGTTAAAACCTCATTTAATTTTCTGTTTTACAGGGTTTATACTGAGTACAATATTGTATAACTGTAACAATTCAACTGTAAACCTAAAAATTTATAGCCAACTTTGAAAGAGATGCATCTTAGGTCAGAAAATTGTTATTGAATATGTCAGTGCTGATGTAATGAAGTGCTTTTTCTAAGTATGTGGTTATTAAGTAAATAATTAAAAAAAAAACTACTAGAGTTAGAGCTCATCCCTCTATGAGGTTATGGCTATAAGTCTAACTTATCCAAAGAAAAATAAACATTAGAAAACAGTAGATTTGTTTAAATATTCCAAATAAAATGGTTCATAGAGTACAGATAATTGTACATACAGGGGGAAACATGGTTAATATCATTTTTATTTTAATGTTTGTTGCCTCAATCTGTTACATTTACTCCATTAGGCCAAGCAGTGCTCTTGGTTATTTTAAGCATAATCATCCTATTATATGTGACATACAAATGTTATATCAGATACAGGGGACAAAAGAAAAACAAAGATCCAGATTATGATGTCTAATAGCTCCAGAAATTTCTTTCTTACTGGCTCTATCAGCTAGTCATTACTCCCTCCTGAAGACTGCTATCTTGCCTACAATTAAGCCCCATCTACATCAAATTCTAGGAATGAACCTTCTTAGATGACCTGGAAATAAATAATATATGGCCCCTTCATGCACAGCATGTAATGCTTGGCTAACAAGGGGAACTGTGAAAGAAAGTTTCTAGAAAGAACTCCTGCGTCCTGAACTGAATTTCCCATAAGGCTGACCAACAGATAAACACACAATGACTGTGGAGAGTTTGGAAGGCTACAGATTTAGAGTATATTCACAAATTATCTGGGAACATCTTTAATCCAATAAATAGCCACATCTTACCTACCTCCAATTCTGAATTAACAACTTTTGACTAATAAAATGTATAAATTTACTAGACCACCAGGTCCCACCAATCAAAAATCTATGAATATCATCCAATAACATATGAGACCTATAGTAGACACCCCCCACACACTTTGCTATGACCTGCCTGCTAAATGTATTCACCGTTGAAAAAAAAAAAAGAAGAAGAAAAAGAAACAAGTAATATGGACTAAATATTTCCCTAATTGACTGAAACTAAATGATTTTCCAAGATAAAAATTCAAATTACAGACAAACTAAAGCCTTTCTTATTCCCAATCTTCTATATTCTTCCTGCAAGACTCTTCTCCATATGTGGGGTTGAAAATTCTTAAATGTTAGACTTAAACTAGTCTTAGGTACTCTTGAAGACTTTGTTTGTTTGTTTGTTTGTTTGGGTCTTTTTAAAGCAGGTTCTCCCTGTAGCCCCAGCTGTCCTGGAACTTACTATGTAGACCAGGCTGGCCTTGAACTCACAGAGATCCATCTGCCTCTGCCTCCCAAGTGCTGGGACTATAGGTGTGCACCACCATGCCGGGCTTTGAAGACATGTTTTTAAATAGATAATATTTTTAAATAGATAATAAATTTTATGTACTTTGTAAAAATACTTTATCAAAGTATGTTGTTGTGTATTAACATTCCAGTTGTATTTTCTAATGCTAAGATCAACTAAAATACATTGATTTTAAGGCTGAATGATCAGATTGTTGTTTGCTGAGTTCAGATCTTGGGCTCCAACTACCTCAGCCTCATATTTGGTTTCATCAGATACTAATACTAAAAAATTCCCTGTGACCTTTAGGTCATAGATCACTGATGATATACCATCAATGTTGTAAGTTCAGAGATTATTTTCAGAAAATATACTCTTCATTCAACTTAGTTTACCAGCATTACTATAAAAATATTTCAAAATATACTATTATTATCATAAAATCTCGTTATATATATCAGTTTTAGACACTAGAAAGAGCACATTTTAGAAATTAATAGGAGGCAGACAGGTATGACTATGCTTTTTTTTTTATTTAATATGTTTGGGAATATTGCTTGCATGTAGGTAGGTGGCACTCATGTCGTGCAGTGCCCGTGGAGGTCAGAAGAGGGCGTCAGATCTCCTGGAACTGGAGTTTCAGATAGTTGTTAGCCACTATGTGGGTGCTGCTAATTGAACCTGGGTCTTCTGGAAGAGCAGTCAGTGCTCTTAACCTTGAGCCATCTCTCCAGCCCCGACTATGCTTTTAAGAACCAAAATTTTTATGTTAAGGAAACATTCAGGTGTTAATTTCTCAGTGCTTCAGTGTTTAAGTCAATTTTCTCTTACTGTAGCAAAAAAACACGATATACAAGTTATAAAGAGAAAAGGTTTATTTTGGTTCATGGTTTCAGTGACTCAAGTCTATGATCAGTTAGTTCCATTGGTTTCAAGCCTCTAGCAAGGCAGCACATTATGGTGGAACACATGGTGGAGTGAAACCACTTACCCCATCACCAAGAAGTGAAAGAGAAGGGTCCTGAAGGGTCTTTAAGTACATGTGCCAGAAGATCTGAAGGCCTCCCACTAGACCCCACCTCTTAAACTTTCCACTATCTCCCAGTAGCACCTTGTTTTGAGCCAAGCCTTTACTAGATACAAATTATAGCACTTAGTCTTCATCATTTGTAATGGGGATAATGAGTACCTCATGGGATTGTTTTGAGAATGAATGAGGTAATACATATAATACATCCTGAATAGTACATAACTACTACCTATAATCCTCAACAAATACGTACTCATATTATTGCTGGCTATAAGCAAAATAAATTGATTCGTAATGTCCTAATCCTTAATTTATCTGAAATGCCAACATAAATTATAAGTTAAAGTTGAGCCATGTGCACTGTTTGGCAAGACATTCGAAAAGGTAACACGTACTAATTAATCAAATAAAGTACATGGCAGGCAGTATTGTATGTATTCTTTTTGTATGTGTCTCCTTAAGAATTATTCATAGCATGTATTCTAAATTCTAAATCTAAATACATTGTATGTATTCTAAAATAGAGTTTATAATAATAAAATAGTTTATTTTATGCTAGAAAATTTCCAAAGACTTTTAGATCATAGAAGTTTATTGATGATAAATGTTAGCATCAGTAATCCTCTAGTCCTTTATAAAAGCATGAATAGTTTTTAGGGAAAATTATTTTCATGATGCCATTATGATGAAATGTGGCTAATTCTTCAAAATACTCTGGGCACAGAAATTTTACTGTTTGTGATGATTGAACTGTTAATTCAAATAAAGCTTTCTTTAAACACTCATCTACTTATCACTAGTCTCTGATGTACATTGTATAAGTATTCTATCTATAGAACACAAGCACCTTAAAAGTTTTTAGTTACATGTTTAGTTGTGTGATCCTGCTTTCCTTCTGTCTTGCTCTCTGGCAACATTTTGAAAGTGTTCAAGGAGTCTGCAGTCACACCTACCTTCCTAATTGCAGTAAGTCGTTGTTTGCTTCCTCCACATGCATTCTCCCACGGATAGAGTGCTTTTTCCAGAAGCAGCATGGTATGCAGCACCACAGTAGGTTGAGTGCACTAACATGTAGGAGCGCCTGGCTATCTTCTATTCAGCCAGACATCAGGGATATCTACAGAATTTAAAATGCTGCCACTGTTGTCAAAATTTTTATTTTTTGTGATATATACTTTTATAAAAAATTTTGCTGCCAGGTAATTATTTAAATTATTTTAGATGCATTAACATTTTTACAGTTTTCTACTTTCATTTCTAATAATGGTAAAAGTGTTAGTAGAAAGAATCCACTATAATCAAAAAGCTTTGTTTTTACAGCATAAAAGAATCCTGAGACTCAAAAGTTTGACAACCAGTATTCTTCGTGGACATACATACAATTCTCATGACAAATTTCTTTTTTTCATTTTTTTCCCAGTGCTGAAGATTTCAGGGCCTTGTATATACAAGACAAATGCTACATATCCAGTCCTTTGGTCTGGTCTGGTCTGAACAGGTCTAGTCCAATCTAGTCTGATCTGGTCTGTATGGCTTGCTATATATACAGTTCAGATTATCTTTGTAGACCAGGTTGGTGTTGAACTCAAAATCCTCCTTCAGCCTCCTGTGTGCTTGGATTATAACTACGTACAACCATACCTAGTTTGTGACAGATTATTGGATATTTTATACATTATATGCTTATTTATCTTTCATGCCCTAAAAGTTAGAGAGTTTTTAAAATAAAATTTATCATTCTGGCTGGGTATGGTGGCACACGCCTTTAATCCCAGCACTCCAGGAGGCAGAGGCAGGCAGATCTCTGTGAGTTCAAGGTAAGCCTGGTCTACACAGTGAGTACCAGGCTACAGGAAGACCCTGTCTCAAAAAGACTAAAAAAAAATCATTCTAAATTTTTATCAGTAATCATCTTTATTCTTTACCTAAATTTTAATGCTTTAATTTACAGGTTGAAAGCACAAAGAAACAGTATGGAGTACTGATTTCACAATTAAGAGAAGAACTTTCAGCCCTTCAGATGGTATGTTAGAAGACCATTTTGATATTTTCCTCCAGTTACATTAAATGAAAAGGTATATGTTATTTGGAATTTGTTCCAGATATATTTGCTAAACCGTGACCTAAGCTAGGTGCTAAAAAACAAAGTAAAAATATACATGGAAGTTTGTTGTTGTTGTTGTTGTTGTTGTTGTTTTGTTGCGGGGCTTATAGTAGAGTAGGACAGATGGTATTTATCACATTTCACTTGCCTTTGACAGAAAATACACATAGGGCTGCTAAATCACCCCGCTATAGCTCCTGCCAAATGCTGGATTATTCTGGGATACCAGGAAGGAAGAGAAGTTATATATGTCAGTAGGAAAGAAGAAAGACAAGAAAGCTTCCTGGAAAAAAAAATTAGTAGTAAAAGATGAGTAGGCAAGAAGGAGAGAGGAAAAGAGTAGAAAAGAGTACTTGTGTGACTAGAGATTGCATTAGAATATTAAATTTAAATTGAAGAATTAATGAGTCAAAATTTAATGACTTTTACAACTTCGTAAACAGTTATCAATTTTGAATCCTTGTATCACTTTTAATCTCTATTACAAAATTTAGCAGTGAATTATGTCTTCTAATAAGTAATGTGCATTAGTGTATGTTGACCACTTACTAGTTACGTATTCATGCTTTCTTTCAGGAAAATCTCTCTCCCATTAGAGTGTAGCACCTCAAAATAATATCTTCCTTAATTGTCTCCAAAAAACCATTGACCATGTAGCATACATTATGAGGAGACTTTAATCATTGTGCAGAGGTCTTGAATGTAATAGAATCAGAAATGTTTATGGGTTTTTTTTTTTTTGCTTAGTATTTCTTGTTTTAATGATGTTGGAACACTGTCAAGTTAATGGGGTATAGCATGCCCTATTGGCCATGTAAAATTCTGTTTTTCTTGTTCTCTTCTGTGGATTATCAAAAACTTTCAACATTGAGGAAGAAGAGAAATATGTGTCTTTACCATAGTCAAAGATCACTCAGCCCAAAAGCAAGGTTGTGGGCAATGCTACATTCAAATAACAATAGGCAAAACTACAAAAAGAAACAAAACAAAACAAAAAAAACAAGCCTAACTACCAGTTCTAATTACTCTGCAACATGATCATGAAACTAAACCTAGGAATGCATGGGGTAGAAGAGGAGCTAACAAAAACTAAAGGTGTAGAAAATCTACTCAATGAAATTATAGTAGAAATTTCCCCAAATATGGGGAAAGAAATGTATCTTAAACACAAGATACATTTAGGATGTTAAATAGTCTTGAGTGGGGGAGGGGGGATCTCATGAAGAAGACATTATAAAATGCTAAGATTTCAGAACAAAGAAATAATACTAAAGCCAGAAAGAGAAAACAGCAACCCACAAATATAGATTTCTCAGCAGAAACATTAAAAATCAGGAAAGCATGGAACAGTATATTTCAAACACTGAGAGAAAATTATTGCCAACTGACATTACTATATCCAGCAAATTTATCTTTCAAATTGTTAGAGAAATAAAGACTTGACAAGGACAAAGTAAAGCAATTCATGACCATAAGAAAGCATTTCAGAAGATGCTTAAGGAAGACTTAAACACAGAGGAGAAAAATAGTCTCATTCCTGAGAGTACAGCAAAGAATATATTTCATAAGAGGAAAAAAATCAAGAACTAGGGAAACTACCAAAATCATGATGAATAGGGGGCAAAAAAAAGAACAAACAGTATTCAGACCAATTAGGAAAACAAAATTAAAAGCATCAACAAATGTCTCTCAATAATAGCCCTAGATGTAAATGGTTTTAACTCTCCAATTAAAAGATGTAGACTAGTAGACATGAGAAAGTGAATAAGAAATCCCAAACAAACTTAAGGAAATCACAACAACTGATGGCTTTTGGGAGGGACAGAAGCAGTATCTTTGAAGAACGGGACTCTTGGTAGGTTAACCAGGCTCCAGTGGATAGACCCATACTGAAGGACATTTGGAGACACTACTTAGACTCTATAGGCCTTATTATATGTATAATAGACTACATTAAATTGGTCAGAGGGTAGTAAAGGGAGGTGTGGCTAGGGAAGGGATCAAAATACCGTCAAATTGTATGTAAATCACAAAAATTCAATAAAAAAATAAAAATCATATTTTTTTTAAAAGTTGCATACCAAGGGCTTGAGAGATGACTCAGCAGTTACAAGCAAGTATTGCTCTTGCAGAGGACCTGAATTTGGTTCCTAGCATCCACATTGATCAGCTCACAGTAGCTTGTAACTCCAGCTCCAGGAATCCACCATTGACCTCTGTGGACACCTCTAGTCATGTGCACAGACCTGAATACAGTCACACACATGTATAAATAATTAAAAATAATAATTTTCTAGAGATGGAGACTAGCTAATGAAATTTAAAAATGGATCCAACTCTTTGTTTTCTTCAAGAATAGTACTTGATATACCAAATAACTGGAATCCAGAAATAAATACAGTGAGCTATTATAAAATCTGACCTAAGTAGCCTTCAAACCAAAATTACTCAGAAGAGATAAAGAAGGTCACTATATGTTAATAAAGGGAACAAACCATCAAGATTTTAAAAAGTGTAAATATATGTGCAGCAAACATTGGGAATCCCAGTTTCATAAAACTGACATTAAAAGAACACAAAAGAACATTTAGGACCTGATACAATACTTCAGAACTTAATTCGTGTCAGTAAGTACAATTTCCAAAGTAAAATTCAGTGAAGAAACTTGAGTGTTGAACTATTCCATAAATCAGACATTATACTTTTTTAAAAATAATTTATTTTTATTTTATGTGTATGAGTGTATTGCCTGCATATAGGTAGGTGCAACCTTGTTACACAGTACCCACCGAGGTCAGAGGAGGGGGTTAGAGCTCCTGGAACTGGAGTTACAGACAGATGTTAGCTGCCATATGGGTGCTGGGAATCAAAACCAGGTCCTCTGCAAAAACAGTCAGTGCTCTTAACCACTGAGCCATCTCTCCAGCCCCAAACATTACACTTTTATACACTCAACAACTATAGAATGCAAATTCTTCTCAGCCGCCCATGGAACTTTCTCTAAAATAGATTACAGTTTAGTCCACAATGCAAGTCTTAACCAATCCAAAATAAATGAAATAATTATTTTAACTTATCAGATTATAGGGTCATAAAACTAGAAATCAGTAGCAAGAGAAACTACAGAAATGATGCAAATAAGTAGAGATTGCACAATAGACTCTTGAATGAGCAGTATATTATTCAAGAAATAATAGAAGAAATTTAAAACTTTAGTATCAAATGAAAATGAAAATCCATCTTATATCTTTGTATGCTCACATTGTAAAAAAGCCCACAAAGATCTCAAACAAATAATAGTGTACCTCAAGTTCTTACACAAACAAGAACAAACCAAACTCAGTATCAATGAGGAAAAAAACTAAAGATTAAATTAAAAATTATTGAAATGGAGATAAAAGAGCAGACTCATACTGAGGGACATCTAGGTACACAAACTTGACTGAGTAGGCTTTAAGGGAGAATGCATGAAACCCTGTGGGTGGGCTATGAAGGGGTACGGATAGGGAAAGGGGTCTAAGTATGATTAAGATGTATGAAATACACAAAAATTCAATAAAAAATACATTAAATTTTTTTAAAGAATACAAATAATCAGTGAGTTAAAGAGGTGATTCTCTAAAAAGATAAACAGGATCAACAGACCTTTACCCAAACCAAACAAAGAGAGAAAAGACCCAAATTAAAATAAGATTAGTGATTAAAACAGCATAGATCTATAATGAATTAAAATTTTGAAGCAGTAATAAAAAGTATCTTCTTACAAAGAAAAGTCCAGGACCACAAAGATTCACTGCCAAACTCTACTAGACTTTTTAAGAACTAACACTACTGCTTCCTAACCTAGTCCATAAAATAAAAATGGGAGGGGTATTGTGAAAATAGGTATATTACCACAAATAATCTACAAATTCAACACAGTCTCCATCAAAATTCTAATAATTCTTCATAGAATTAGAAAAAAAACACTAAAATTCATATGGAAGCACAGAATACCACCCCCCAATAGGCAAACTAGTAGTTCTGAGCTCAAAGCATAATACCTAATTTCAAATTATATTATATAACCCCATTATTAAAAACAGCATGGTACTGCAACAGAAACTGGCATACAGACAATGGGGTAGAATAGAGTGCCCAGAGATAAATCCACATAGCTACAGCCATGTGATTTTTGATAAAAGTACCAAAAACATGACTCTACACAAAAAAGGATTCCAGTAAATCAGGAAATAATAGCCAGTATTGACAAATGGGATCACATGAAATTAAAAGGCTTCTACACAGAAAAAGGAAAAAAAATAAAATAAAGTGAAGAAATAGCCTCCCGCATGGAAGAAAATCTTTGCCAGCTGTATATCTCACAGTACCCAAAATATATCAATTTTTTAAAAAAATTAAACACCAAAAAAAGAGTATCCTGTGAGTAAACTGGTAACTAAATTAAACAGACAGTTCTCAAAAAGAAGTAGAGATGACCAGTAACTATATGAAGAAATGTTCACCATTCTCCATTCTTTGCCATCAGGGAAATGCAAATCATAAATACATTGAGACTCCCAGAACAGTAGCTACCATCAAGAAAATAATCAACAATAAATAAATACTGACAATGAAAAAGACCCATACATATTACAGAGTGGAACACAAATTAATGCACCAGCTACAAAATTCTGTATGCAGAAGCTGAGGAGATGACTCAGCAAATAAAGTCCTTGTTGCACAAGCATGAGGACCTTTGACTTACCTTCACATAGACAGAACTGGTAAAAACAAAGGAGCCAGGGGCTCCTCCAAAGCCCATGTGACCCCTGAGGAACAGATCCTCAAACGACCTTGAGAGTAAAACTGCTTTGGTTTTGGTTTTGAGATAGGGTCTCCTTGTAGTCCCAAGTGTCCTGAAACTTGCTATGTGGACT